ATCATCATGTTTGACGGTGCAGCATGGGGGAAGAGGAAAATCATCCATAAGCATCCTTTGCAATTAATTTCTATATTGTCATAAGATATGACTAAGGTATATTAAATTCCTCGACTGGAGTTGTGCAAGGAAGTAACGGTGCACTCCAACTTTATAGCACATAACAATATAGATATTTGCTGGCACTAACAAAGTATTCTATCTAGGAAATTTATGAAAGTCAAAACAAAAATTATACCATTGCATTAAGATCGTAGATTTTTTTTTGTGTATGCTGTGTTGTGTCCACAGGCTTTGTAATTTATTGAATGATGAATTTATTTTAAACTCACGTCTTGGGTAATATAATGAGAACAATTACTCAATTGGATAGTAATATCCATATTCATTATTTATTTTTAATATCGGATTTTCAATCACCGAGTTTAATATCTATTGAGTTTCGGTTTTGATATCCGGGTTCATTATTCAACAAACTTAATAGATATTGAAAATGGAAGTCAAAACCAGACATAGTTATTAATGTTGATCAATAATTATTCTCACTGATTATGTACAAATTGTCATACATCGCACTTTTTTGTTTAGTGGTGGAGAAACGAAAATGCGCATTACGTTGCAGATTATAAAAACCACAACTTTAGGGATTGCAGAATCGGTTGTACATTGTTTCTTTGATATTCTAAAACCCCTGAAAGTCCAAATTTTTTGGTTTCTAAGAAACTGTTTTGTTTCTCATTAATCTCAAAAGATATGCTTGCACTTGTATCAAAAACAAAATATACTGTACCACGAAGTACAACCTGGCAAAATGAACCAAGAAAAACCATGAACTACGTAAGCTTTTGTACTCTTACCGTTGCTGACAAGGCTGCTGAAGCTGCAGTTTGAAGAACAGAAACTTGCCGTTTCACGTGTGAAAGCACCGTGAAAAGCATTTGCTGACAAAGTCTTTCTCTACTACGGAAATGTAGTTGTCTCCAGCATACAAAAGTTTCTAAACTCGAAGTGCTGTTTATTTTTTTCAATGTGCTTCATACTCAAAGTGCTGTTTAATTTTTTATAGTGCTTCATAAGTATAAATGACATTATATTCCCCCCCCCCCAATCCCTTGTCTTTTTCTAACGATTTCTTTCTTCTTTTTTTTTGTTTTACTGCGAGTTAACGAACAGTTGTATACTTATATTTTTTGTAGTTTGATACAAAATGGCGATGAGCTTCTACTGAATTTGGAGACAGTGATCCTGGCTATGACATCCATATCACACATCACCCATTTCATTGACAAATAGTTTACGTGGAACGAAATCACACTTTATCCATCAACCGCACTGGATCTTTAAGGAGGAGAATGGCTATCTATTCTTTATAGAAGTGTATCTAAAAACCTTTAAGAAATCTTCAAGAACCAATATTAATTGTTCGATACTTCCAACATATCAGGTGGTTAGGACGCTCGACTCGCAATCTGCGGGTCGCGAGTTCGCATCCCCGT